GGGGGGGGGGGGGTGTCAGAGGAAATAGTATCCTGAATGACAAGAAGAGGGAGAATGAGCAGCCAAGTTCAGTGAGTTTGAGTTGAGCCCCTGCAAAATTCTACCTATAAAAGTGTCTTGAAAATGATATTTTTAGCCTGTGTGTAGGACTTTGTGAAATCTTTTAATTAATAGTAAGCTAGAGGTCTCTGAGCACTGATCTGCAATGCTGCATGTGTAAGGCCAAACCTGTAGTTACTGTTGATCCAATGAACAAGAGAAAGAATTTTCTCCTAGTTAGGGTTAAAGCACTTGATCCATAGTGTTGAAATAGAAAGAATTGCAAAAATCATTTGCATTACTCCTTAAAATTTATCAGATTCAAACAAGCATTTAACTCATCATTTCCAGGAGACACTTAAAAGCAAATTAAAAATAAAAGCTTACAGTATAGTTCTAAGATATAATTTCCCTGACTGTTTGTACTTTCAGGAAATATTACAAACATTCCTTCTAGTAATATTTTTTTGAATACTGCTTGTGAGTAATCAGCAAGTTTTGCTTAGATATGATAATGTGTATTTATTAACAGATGCATGTGCAGTTGATATATACAGAGTTGCAGAAGAAGGTGTTCATGTTCATAGTTGTGCACTCTCTTGATAAAATATTTTAAGATTTGAGCGAAGTTTAAAGTAGCAAAAATTCGGGTTAAAATGTCAGTAAGTTGCACAACTTGAACATCGGTCATTTTTCTGCATTTCATTAGGTTACTTCAGCTTTTAATATGAACATATCATTGAGGGAAGGTCTTAAAAGTATTTCTTCTTGGCCTAGTTCATCAAATCACTAAACGTATGGGTAACATTTGAGAGGCATTCTGACCACGATGAGTTTCAAGTCATGCACTAAGGATGGGATTTGGCTCACCTGGTTTTGGACATTAACAGTTTGAACATATACCTCTAAGATTTGACTGTAAAGGGGTGTAGCTCAGCTGAAGATACCCACACTGAAAATATCTCAGGGCAAACAGGGTGAAACTTTTGCTTTCCGTGACCACCTGCACTGGACACTAGAGTGATGTAAGTAAGCCAGTGTAGAACCTCATTTCCAGTTTTAGCTTAAAATAAATGAAAAAATACATTTAAAATTTTGATCTCTGCTCTGATGTATTTAATCTGTAATACTTTCCTTTCTGGTTTGGCTATATTTGTGGTTTTAAGAATTTCTGCCTTGAATGATTTATTTTCCCTTGTCAGTTTAAATGTAGATCTTTTTTTTGTGGCTTTCTCTGAAGCCTTTCTCTTATAACGATGCAGACTTAGGTACAACAGATAAACTAGGATGTGAGCTTAATATGTATCACCTACTATGCAGTGAATACCCTTTCTCCCAGGATAAGTGCCCAGTAGTTTATTCCCTTATATTAAGGGGTAAGCATGTTGTATTTGCTCTGGGATAGGAGCAAACAGGTACACTACAGCTGACATACTACAAATGCACACTCTGATTTATCATGCAGTAGTCTGTCTCTGTGCTCATCTCCTAAGACAGAGCTGAAATGTTGCTTTATGACATTCAGGTGATGCTTAACCAGTTTAAACAGTAACAGAACCTCCTTTTTAGGTTTAGCTAAGACTGTTATTGTAACCCTGATTATTTGGGTTTTTATTGTTAGTCACAAGGATTTTGTTTAATTAATTCTTTTTAGAACATAATTTGGTAAAGACAGACCATTAAGCATAATAACTTGTGATCTCACTTTACCTTTGTCTCATCCCACTTCAGTGTAGTGTCTGATTTACATTTCTTCTCAGTCTCCTTTTTAACTCCAGTTTTTGACTTGAAACAGTGATAGCTGTATTCTAATTTTGAAGTTAAATATAAGAACTTATTAAATATATGAGATAGATGTAAGTATGTTGCTTCTTTAATGCTATATCAGACCAGATTGCTGGGGAAATAAACTTTAAACCTCATCTGGAATTAAATACATTTTTAAAATGAAATTTTGTGAATAATCACCATAGGGAAATCCCACAAGCACAAACACTGTGTATAGTTGTAGGTCTGTCTAGTTAAAACCTGTGGCATTATCTGGCAAATTACAGTTTTATTTTGCTTCACCCAGGTGAGCTCACCCTCAGTCTCAGATGAGTGATTTATCTCCTGAGGGTGCACAATGGGCTTAAATCAGATTTTGATTTTTTTTTTCCTGTCACTCCAGCCAGACCCATTTGGTTTCTACTTTCTGACCACAGAGCAAATAATGTATCACTTCAGAAACAGACCATTGGAAGTATTGTAGAAGACAATATGATAACATAGTCTTTGAGGTTCAGATGTGAAGAACCAAGAAGAAGAGCACTAGAAATGTGAGGTTCTTCCTAAACTGAAATCTTTCCAGTCCCTGGTAGTTCTCAGTTGTTCTGAGAAGGACTGAAGCCTTTCCTGCTCCAAGACTTGGGCCTCATCTTAGTCCAATGCATAGATAGGCAGAGCTGCTACCTGGATCTGGGGACCATAGTCCTGTCCATCTAGGAGTGGCTCTTGTTCAAACTGAAGATTATAGTCAGTCACACTACGTGCAATAGGGCATTCTGTCACCTTGGGCTGTGCTAATGGCCAGAGACAAGGAGAACTGGAAGTTTACTAGCAGAATAGAGAACACTTACATTTCCTAGCCATTCAGCGGGATTAGCAGTTTCAGTACACTGTCCATCCAAGACCAAGCAAGTACAGCCCTGTTTCTTCCACTGCCTCTTCCCTTTGTATAGTTGTGTGACTAGTGATTTTGTCTTCCCAAGTATTTAGTGACAAACGCTCTTGAAACTCCATCTTTTTCAGAGTCTCACTACAAATAATATTTAAAGTTTTTATTTTAAAGCTAAAAGGTATGTTTTGTTCAATTTAGGAGCTATACATCTGAAAAAGAAACACTTTTTGTTAAAAATAATGTGGGAGGGGTTATTGAAGATCAAGTTTTGATAACACCACATTGAAGTTCCTATTTGCATAGATTTTGAAAGTACATAATATCAAGTATTGAACTGAGCTTCTGATCATTTGATGCTGCAGGAAGAGTAAGATTAACATTACTAAGTGTCTTTGTCAGAAATGTTGTATTGCTGTATGGGGATTTGTAGTATTCAATATTCAGCAACCATTCACTTTTGTGTAGTGTTCTTTCTGTAGTGTCTGTTACTCTAAAGAATTGTGTGCAGCTCCAGGCCGCTAATAACTTTTTGTTGTACAGCCCGAATAATAAATGAGTAATTTGAAATCTTTAGGGTTAATTTAAATCCGTTTTTACTGTAAGACTATGTATTGTTACCAGGAGCAGTTAGCAGTGAAAATATGTATGTTTGGAAATGTAATTACGGGTCATACCTAATAACTGATTTTTAGTTCAGTCATTTTAAGAAATGAAAAGACCGCCTACTTACTATCACAATTTTTAATATCCACCAGAAGCAATTTTATTATAAAATACAGGATATCTTTTTTCTTTATTAAAAGCTCAAATAAATAATTACGAACATTTTGTTAGGATACAAATTGGCTAATAGCTTGGGAAAATGTTTTAAAATCTGTTGCAATACCATTTATATGACAAATAAGAAAGCTAATAACTAATTAGGTTGAAAGAGCTTTAGTAAGTTAGAAAATGAAACCTATTCAATATACTCCAGATGAGATGGCATTTTGAAAGACCTATTTTTAAATAAACAAGGTTACTCTGTAAATAAATAAAGCATAAAAATTCATCTAAGGCTAGGACTTTCTGTATTGAGAGTTAGGAAGCAGATCTTTTCAAAATGTAAATATCTGATAAAATGTTTACAAATTTTTTCTATGTTAAGACTGTTTAATGATTTTTTTGTTATTTGGTAGAACCGGACACTGAAATAGCTTCATCTTCAAAGCCAGAAGAAAGTTTCTATGCTGACAATTACAATCCCTTCAAGGATGAAGATGCCCCAGAATACTTGAACCCATTTGATGAGCCAGATCCTGAGCCTGAAACATTTGTAACTGTAAGAGATTCTCCTCCACAACCTGCAAAAAGGAAAAACATCAGACCGGTGGATATGAGCAAATACCTCTATGCAGATACCTCTAAAGCTGAAGAGGAAGACCTAGATGAGTAAGTATGATTCTTCATCTTCCAGCAGCTTTGGAAGTATTAGTGGGATCCCTGGCTTAATCTTGAGGTGTATTGGGTTCAACCATGGTGATCCTTAATCACCCACCCCCTTAGGACAGACCAATCCTTAGGCAACGCAGCAGCATGAAATACCATACCCCCAAGTCATGCTATTCAGCTGAACATGACAGTTAGGAGAATTTTCTTTGCCTCCTTGATAGCAAATTACTTGATAGGGAACAAATCTGGATACTTTTTTGGTACTTCATGCCCTGACAATTGTGAATGAGACAAAAATTAAGGTCCTTTTGCCATTATTTTTACTACATAAAATAATACTTTTTGTAATGATAATGAAGAATTTGTTTTACACTGTTGCGGAATGTAAAAAGGAAGAGTGTTTTACAGCACATTTTTGAGAGTCTCATAAAACTGAATCTCCATATGGGAAAGATAACACCTTATGCACTTTTTTACGTTGTTTGTGTTACCATAACCACTCATAAAACTTTTATAAAGTCACACTGACTGCATTGTATTACAGTATAGAAACCTAACAAGGAGTGAGAGCTTTTTGCAATAGCTGTGCAGCTTGAGAGGTTGATGGTGTATACTGACTCCTTGTTTGTGGTCATTAGTCACCAACCACACCACTCATGAAACAGTTTACGGTGATTTCATATGAGCAATTTTACAGACAACAACAATAATTAACATTTAGTTTTACGTTATTTATTGAGATTTATCATAGCATGACATTTGCATTGCTTTCATATTTAATATTAATACAGGTGTCATATCATCATCTTTATGCTTCTCTTTTTATAGCTGTGTTCTAGGAAATTGAAGAATTCCCCTGTGCTCTAATACAAATTTATAAAGGACCCTGCAGGGTTTTTTCCTTTTAAAGATTTGTGGCCATTTATTGTTGTTTGCTCTGTCGAGAAAAAAAAAAAAAAAGGGGGGCACTGGGGGAATGATGTTTCTGCCAGCTACATTCATCAAGGCACTGCCTGAACAAACAGCACTGTCTGCTGTGTCTTCAGAGCACAGTGTAATCATACTGTTGACAGTCACACCAGGCATCCCTGATCATTCAGTGATCACCAGAATCCACAGGGAGGAAAAATATGCATACTTTACACCTCCAAAGATATGGGTATATAGGACAGCAAAGACTGAGAAGAGCAGAAAGAGCAAAAGCTACATGGATGGGCAAGTGAAGAATTTTCTCTGTTTCATATTTATACTCACATTTCCACCCTAAGCAAATCTGTGCCAAATGGGCTTGTGGCAGTGTTGTAACAGGCAGCCTTGCTTTTTCTGTGTACTGGACTGTTGATTTCTCTAGCCCTTTGTTTACAACAGCCGCCTTCTTATTTTAATGACCCCATCTGTGTTATTCCTTTTTTTTTTTTTTTTTTTTTTTTCCCAAGGATAAAAATAAACTCCTCAGGTGGATTCTACTTGAGTATAAGTCTGATCTGTATTTTCATTATAAAAGCCATGTTCCATGAAAAGATGGAAGGATAAGGAGTAAAAAAGCACTGTAAAATGGTTTTTTACATCATTTACATACGTTTCTTACATCCTGACCCCCACAGTAGCTTCCTCTCCACATTTTCCTCTTAGGTTACAAGAGCACTATGTCATTGAAAAAGACGCAAGAGACCATTTGCTAAATGTATTAGGTAGAAGCGTGACAAGATGAACCTTTGAAACTTTACACTGAAATGCTCTGGAGGAATAAGTGTAATAATAAAACTCCAGTCTTGGAACACAGGACTCATGATGCTAAGTCACACCTACAAGCTCTATTATGTCTCATGTCATAAATTTTCAAATTTTTCAGTAGAAAGTTTCTTCTAAGGTATGGTGTGGTGGGCACCAAAGGAAAGATTTTCATAGGCAGTGCCATTTGGTAGGTTTTGTGTGCCCTAGATCATGAGGGTTTATGTCCAGATGTGTATTTGCGTATTGTTTCTTATCTAATGTGAATATTGATACTTTTATTATCTATGTAACTGGCTAATCTTCTTCCAAATTCTGTTAAAGTCTAGGCTTCAGTGTCAATTTATGGCAGAATTCCACAAAACCCCAAGATCATACATGAAATGTGTTTTCTATTATTGACTGTAAATAAATTACCTTTCCAATTCCATGCACTATCTCTTCTGCTGGCTTACCAAAACAACAATTAGAGTATTGGATTTATCTGCCGTAAACAGTTGCTGTGTTGTATATCTCTAGCATGTTCGCCATTACTTATCACTTGTCTGAGTTAAATGGTGCTAACTTTTTCAATCTCTCTTCATACAGAAGTCTCTTCATCTCTCTAATCATTTTCACCGCACGTCTCTGGACCCTGTTAATTCTTCTGCTATGTATCTATTTTAAGATGTGTTGACTTGGCCTGAGCAGTGTATTCAAGACAAAGCTGAACAACTGAGTCATATCATGGCCTTAGAAAACTTTGCATATTATTGTCAACCTCTCTCCTAACATCTTGTCTTTTGATATTAATTTTGGTTTGTTTTGTTTTGGGTGGTTTTTAACCATTTTTGACAACCATTGGTCTAGTGCTTTCCCCAGGAGTGGTTCTGAACCTGTAGATAGAAGGCATGAGAAATAGAAGGCTCCTGAAAGACATCTACTGTCGCTCAGAGAATTCAATGTATTTTTATCCCTGCATCTTAAACGTTTCATTGGAGTTCACTTAATGCACCACTTGGTATTTTCCTCTTGTATTTTGTGTGAAATGCTACAATGTGTCTCGGGAACACGGACGCATCAGTTAGCATCAGGACCCTCGTACCACTCTGCTCTGACAGATCCCTAGTTCTGATTCTGGACTCAGAGCTTACACAAAGTGCCCCAAGAGCTGAACTCTGACTCCACTTTTGTAACAGACTCTTGTTGTAATCTTGGAAAAGGTACTTACCCTCACTGTGCCTCTGTGAAGGATTTACCTTGGGTAATTGGCTTAATTGAAGCATGTTTCACTCATGGTTGTAAGGATAAGATTTCACAACACACATAAGCAAAGCATAGTCACAAGCATAAGCATAATGAGGCATTGCATGTTATGTAGGGACTTAGATGATCCAGCACTTATATTCTACTGTAAAACCACACTCTCAAAACATACTTCCTCTGGCTAAATTCTCATACCTAGCTAGAGATAAGGAACACATTTTCTTTTTGTTAGTTAGTGCATTTGAATGTTAGTGTAAAATTCTGCTTTTGCCCTTTTGAACTTTATACATTAAAATAAAAGTGGTAGGTGGCTACCTGTTAATGAAGGACAGCACAACTTGCTAAGTTAAGTTTAATTACTTGAAAATAGCATAGCTCACAACTACTTACAGTATAATGCTTTCAACCGTAGTACTTCTGACTGGTAATATTGCCTGATCTTTTAACCCTACCACAGTGACAGCTTTGTTTTTCCTTCTCAATAAAAAGTTTTGGGTTTTTTTCAGTTAACCCATAATGCTGATCAAAATAATTTTTCAATTGATCAGAATAAAACTTACTTTCAGATATTATTTGGCTCTTTGGCTTCTTATCTCATTAATCGTTGCATGGCTCAGAATAATGTTGTCTAATTGGAAAGACTATTGAGTTGCTATCTATTGAAGTGGCCTGTTGCACAAGAAGCCACAAGCCACCATGCTGCCAGTGGCAGCATCATGCCAGGTAATTTGTCAGGTTTGGGGTTTTTTTAAGTTTTGTGATGGACAGTCTAGTGTCTCTTCAGGCAAATCATATTGTGTGGATCAATCAAGTAACTTCACAGAAGTAAAAGGTATGGGAACTAACCTCAGAGAAAAGTGCTTTAATGTTTTTCAGCCAAGGCTTTTTTCAGCCAGACTTTTCCCATGCTGTTTCTTGTATAGCCACGTGGAAGCTGTTCAGCCAAACCCTGCTACATATGCTACCCGCATGACTTCAAAAGTCATTAGCCTCTTGAGGCAAGAACTGTTTTGTTTGTCATTTTTTTTCTGTATTAATTTTTCAAAAATCTTTCTCAATATTTGTAAGACCAATTAAAAGCAGTACAGGGGGGAAGGTGGAAAATAGTGTGTGTTCTGCCCATACTATGACCAAAATGTGAGGGTTTCATCTGGCTTTCAAGCAAGTTCTTCTCTAGGAAAAAACAAGTCACTTGTTTCCTTACAGCATGTCCTTCTGGTGCATGCAGTAGGGTACGGTTCTTCAAGATTACACACGCAGCACAGACAATACTGGATCATAAAAATTCAAAAAATGGTTCTTCCAAACTTTTTCATTCTCCTTGATAAGGTGTTGGGTTTTTTTTCTCGCACCAAATTCATTTTAACACCTTACAAACACAGCTCCCTAATTCCAAGTACACAGAGGTAAATTACTTTCCTGCCAAACATGCTGTGTCTGTTGGCTGTTCAGAGGGCTAACTTGCTGAACTAAAGAAAACCTTGTGCTGTCCTGTAGAATGCATTGTTCTTCAGCCTTTATCTCTTTTATCTTCATTTTCACCTCCCTTTGAACTTTCCAGTGTCTGAAGACAGCTGAGCTGGCCTGTCAGCTAAATTAGAGTTACTGACAGCTAGGTGCATTCTCCACTCCAGCCTGAATACCCTCCTTTTTCTACTGCCTCCCATGGAAAACACCCATCCGTTTCTATTTAACTTGTTATTTTGATGTTGCTTTTAGTTTTGATTGCACTGGGGGCTTTGTGCTTGATGGGCAGCAACGTGGGAACACCTGGAAGTTGCCTTCAGTCAGCAGATGAGTTATTTCAGTGTTAGTTTTTCCTTTTGCTTCATTATCTGGATTTAGATCTCTTTCTCTATAACAAGCAGTGGCAGTTTCTCAAACAGGTCTGGAGCTTTTATGCCCGGTCTTCACTTACGTGCTTCAGTAAACTGCCTATTAGAAGTAGACTTATTTTCTGTGGTGTGGATTATTAATTGCTTGCTTTTTCTCAGTGAAAAGAGAATGATGGTAAACTGCATTAAAATAAATTCTAAAATCAGTCCATGAGACTGAAAGATGTATTTTCATACTAAAAGTGCACAAAACTAAGAGAAATTTGGTGTTGTGTGAAAGGAAACTGGATGAATATTTGGTTTTTCACTTGTGTCTAAATTTTGTTGTTGTAGTTCTTTAAAAACTCTTATCCTCAGAGGAAATTTGTAGATGGATCTAGCTAGGTAGACCCCTGCCTAATGCTGTATGTGTTATTATTTCCATCTAGAGCTGAATTCAAGGGACTGAGGTTATTTGTCATGGTTGGTTATGCTTATATATAACTGTGCAGATAGATCTTTGGGAATTGCAGTGTCTTTGTTCCATAAACATAGTTTGAGATATATGATAAATATATCTTGCAGGGGAAGTATGGACTGGAAAGGAATTAATTCATATCCATTTCATAATTAACCCTCCAATTTTTGGACTGCAAAATACGAAAAGCAAAGATTATAAATTAAATAATTCAGTGCAAAGAAGGTTCCCATACTAAAGTATCTTTAGTATGATACAAAATAGCTGGCTCTTCTAAGTGAGTAGTAGAAATCCTTCAAGAATACATCAATAATGGCATTTGATGTATCAAACTAAGAGATAAAATTTGGAAATGCTGTGGAAATACTTACTCAGAGTGGAGCAAATGTGGTGTTGGAACATGAATGCCAGTGTTAAGGAGAATAATTCTTCTGACTGCATCCACTTGGTGGAAGATGTTTAGTGTGTTACTTAAATGAGGTTTAGTTATAAAAAGCACTTTCAAAACAGACAGATGGTGGCTACTGGTATCTGCGGAGAGGTGTACACAAGTCAGCTGTGGTTTTCTTACACTATTCTCTTATCCAGAGAGTGTTCTTGAAATGGTGTGGTGCCTCTGTGCTGCAGCATTTAAAATACACTTGATGTGGATTGTGTACCTATGAAGGCCAAAATTTTCAGACTTGGCCAAGTGTGAGGCCTCTGAAGTGGATTGAAGCATGCACGTAAAAGTGGCCTGATTCTTAACTCTGTTCTATAGAAGCATTCGTAATTCTGTTCATTAGAATATTAAACAGCCAGCAGCTTCACTCAAATTTGTTGGTATACAGCTTGTCTGTAAATCAGATCACTCTTTGATAGATACCTAAGTATAACTGAAGAATTAGCTTTATACAATTGGTAAAACTTCTGTAATATACAGAACTGTATAAAATTTATGGAAATCCTCATCTAATGCAGTTTTAACTGTTGTAACTCACTTTTCAATCACATGAAAAAGTAGTATCTAAAAATATGTAAAGGCAAAACATATTCTTACATGGGATAATAAAAGCATTTTAGTCACAGCACATTTTTGAGAGTCTAAACAGATCTTGATTTCCACTTTAATTCCAAGGAGATAGCAAAGAAATATGTTTTCCTTCTTTTAATTAGATCAAATCCGTTTTATGAACCAAAATCAAGGTCTGCTTTAATTAAAGTTGCACCACTGCACGAACCAGAAAAGAAGATGAAAAGAAAGGCTCCTGAACCACCAAACCTCTTGCCAAAGACAGAGACAGGCATGAGTGAGAACATGTCAGCTATTCCTGCTTCGAGGGAGCTTTCTTCTTCTCCTAAGGTAGGTTTTTCATACCAAAATTTCATCTTTGTTATTAACAGTACCTTTATATGTATTGTGGACATCCTATTTATTTCTGCAGGCCATCTTAAAAGCTTTGCTTATACTTAATAAGGTGTTGGCTCATCTCTATTCATTTGCTGGTTCATAGGGAGAGAGCAGCAGTAGGAGCTTGTATTTTTTCTTTAAGGATTTAATGACAACAGTAACAGCAACTGCAGTTTCAAAGAAAATAGTCTTCTAGTAACAAATGTTACAGGACAGCTGGATATGCCATCGAGAAGGAAGAAAATCATGTTGAACAATACTTTGTCTTGATCTATTATAATGCCGCTAAGCCTTGCCCCTGTTGAAGAGTCTGTCTCCACATTTCTGTCATAAATCTGGGTTTAATACTGGCTACTGTTTATTTGTATGGGGATTTATGTGTGTCCAATTTCATAGGTGTGTTGAAGTAATTTTTTTAAAGATACAATCTAGTTTAAACCAGATTAACTGTTTATTAGGCACATCCAGACTAAGCATACTTACATATGCAAAACCATCCGTGTTTGTCAAGGGAAAATATGAGTTAACTTCTGTTGCGGAGGCCAGTGTGAGGTGTAGGTATTGTAGGATCACTTCAACAGAAATTAGCTGTTGTAAATCTCAACTCCCGTGTTTCAGCACCACTTGGGCTTTTTAAACAAAACAAGCATTTAATAGTACATGTTAATGGGCCCTTCTTAAAAATTAATTTAATATATGCTGAATGCTTGTTTTGAAGGGTAGGAAGATGAAGACAGAGGGCTTCTCTTCCAGCATATCTTGTCCAATTTATGAATATTATAATCTGTTTTGCCTTGTATTGGAGCTGCTGTACTTTAAGAATTGAATGAAACTACTTGTCATAGCTATCATTTCATTGCTTACTCACTCAGCCACAGCCAGATTGCTGACATGTCCTTGTCCATTCAGGCTCTGATCTTGCTGTCATTTATCACTCAGTCAGGGTAAAGAGTAAGAGAACAGAAGTCTAATCTGTCTGCTCACAGCAAAACAAAACATCATAGTAAGGCCACAAGCACAATTCACTCTTAATATGCAAAACCACTCCCAGGGAAATATGAAATCAAAGCATAGCAGTTTTATAATGCTCTGATACAGGGTTTGATCGTATTCACTGGACTTTCTCTATGAAAAATATTGCACATTATTTGTCTTCTGGTCTGGCCCTCGGGTCAAAGCAAAGGGGCCAAAGTAAAGCATTCTGGTACTACCAGGCAGAGAAGAGACATCTGTGGAGGAGATTTTATCAGGTTGCTTGATGGAGGTTGTGCCCTCTTTGCTCATTGTTTGAGAGGCTTTTTTACAGGTCTGCATCCAAGGAAATAACATTTATGCTTTATTTCATGTCTTTGTTGTGCTGAAATAACTTAAGTTTTAGGTTGTCTGAAAGCTGGAATTGATTAAGAAAAGATAGAGGATTGAACTCGGAGGACTGTGCTGTTATGAATGCAGTCAGGTAGTTTCCTGCTCTTGTGCAGGGTGTTTGTTTCTGAATATTTTGGTGCCTGCCTGATTGCAGCTCACCTCTCTCTCTGCCACTGATGCTCAGGCACGGCTGAGACCAGCAAAGGTCCAAGTACTGAAGTTTTGGTATTCATTATGGCTGTGGGGGAAAATAGAGCTCTATGCTGACCTTTTGTGGGACAGAAGGTTTTAAATTTTTTGCAGGATTTTGGAGGATACAAGGCCATTACGGGAGACTTCAAAGCAAATGCAGTGTCCTGGTTTCACTGGTTGGTTTTGTTCAAATATTGTATGGTTCCTTGCAATTCAGAAAGCTTTCTGTAAGCAGTCTTTTTTCTGTGCTTGAATTGTTTTACTCTAAGATGATCTAATAACGCTAAATCAGAAGCACTTTGCTTGAGTTGTATTTTGAAATTCAGAAAAGTACTGGCATTTAAAAGAAAAGGAAACAGTTTCCTCACACCACAGTACAAAATAGTGCCCAGGTTGGACTTGGGCTGTTGGCACAAATAACTTGTTTGTTTATTACTCAATAATAGTGATGATGTTTAGCAACTATGAAAAAACTCCTGTCAAAAGGTATAGGCACTATACAAACATGAACTTAGCACACACCCTTATGTAGGGGGAATAGTCCCAGAGAGGTAAACTTAGGTAAAAGGAGGTTAAATAACGTATCTAATTCAGTATTTTGTCCCAAGTTTGCTGTGCACAGCAAGTCTCTGCTACAACTCTGACCAGAACCTAAGTGTCCTGACATGTTTAGTTCTGTGTGTTGGTTGTTGTCTTCATAGGAAATGGCTGTGGAGCAGAAATGCTAATCCTGAGACTACACAAACACAGCATTAATATTATAACTTTAGAGTTTAAGGAAGAAAGCTCCAAAAATGCTTCTGGAAATCATTGACAGAGTATTTGGAGCTCATTTTTCCTTCATGGGCTAATAGTGTTCATCACATTTACTGTTGCTGATATATAGATGCCAATAACAGCATCATCAAGTTTATTAGGTAGAAATTGCTCCTGAAAGATTGACACATGACAGATTCATACTCAAGATACAGGTTCCAAATACTTGAAATTTTGTTACTCTGTTAAAAAAATCCAAACCACATAGATGTTGAAAACAGTAGTGAAGTTCCCAGGAATTTAAATACCACTTTAAAAGTAGGACAAGAAAGGTTGATATTTTCCTAAGCATACACCCCAAAATCAAATCCCTAGGGCATAGGACAATTATGACTGGACACCAAAATTGCTTCATTCAATGTTCAGCTGCAATGAGCCTTCTAGCATTGGCATTGTGGGTATAGGAGCACTTCCACAGAAGCACAATTGTATTTGCTGTTGAAACATCATAGCCCGAGTCCAACATTTTACCATTACCCAAATAGTGGTAGAAGGTGTTTCTCACCTGAAGGATATCTGGCTTCCTACACATGATTTTTCGTGTGTGTGTATGTCGTCTTAATTTATAACAGCAGCGTCTGTGGTAATGAAAGAGGAGAATAAAACAATGCATTTTTTAGCAGTGACCAGTCTTGGACATGTCTCATTTGAGAAAAAACTTAAGCTAATGCATCTGTGCAATTTGCAAAGGGCTTTCTTTTAATGGAGTTGTACTGTCTTTTAACAGATGAAGACTATTTCTAGATTTTTCCTGGAATTATACCCACAACTTATTACCTCTGTTACTCCTGACACCATACAAAAATCAAACTCCTCCTAGTTCCTTTGTTCAGAGATGTATGCTGTACGAGATAATTCTGTGTAAAGGTTTCATGTAGAACTAGGCAGAAAATTTCAGAAAGCATCTTCTGATCTGTTAGTATCGGCATCATGCCTAGTATCCCCAGGATAAAGACAGTACTCCAGGGTGGAACTCATTCAAGAACTCAATGATCAGTGAAGACAGAACATGAGACTAATAAACAGGCATTAACAGACCTCTGGAGGCCTTCTGGTCCAGCCCCCCTGCTCAAGCAAGGCCACACAGAGTCAGTTGCCCAGGCCATGTCCAGACAGCCTCAGAACATGTCTAATAGTCAGCTGATCTTCTTCAAATGTTTTTCTTGCACTGCTACCCTGAGCAATCAGTTAGCTGGAGTAGCAAGCCCCTTCCAAGCCTCTTTAATATCTTTCCTTTGAGCAGGCCCCTTGATCACTTGGAAATCCCTGTGTCAGCTCTGTCAGTGAGGAAGGGGCATTTAACTGTCAGAGGTAAGGCAGGGTCTGTCTCTCCATACAGGTCCAGCCAGCTCTTGCTCCCATAGTATTAGCTCAGTATTTGCCATATCTGGGTTGGGAGGAAGTTTTGTTTCCAAATACTGTTACCTACTTGCACTTCCTAAAGAAGTACCTTAATTCTCTCCCGTCTTCCTTCCATGTCTTCTCTAACCTAATCTGAGTCATCAGAGAGAGCTTAAAAATGCAAAGTCTGAAAGCCTGGAATCATCCCACAGTTATAATCTCCGATGGCTTCAAGACTGTGGTGAATCCGACAAACTGCAAAGCTGTAATTAAGCTCTTCAGTCATCAACCTGCTACACTGCTCTCAAACCCAACTGAAGTCTTGTTACCATCATGCATGTGTTACTGTTCTTGACATGGTTTGGATAACCAGGTTCTGCCTTTCACAGAAGTGATGGAGATTTGAAATGTCTTTCACTTGTTATTGACTTTGTGGAAAAAAATTGAACAAAGTTCAGGCTCAGAAAGTGGTATCAGACCAGTGCATGGTGTGCATATCAGCACTCAGCATTGCTTTAGCTGATTTAAAAAAAAATGTACATACCAACTTCAGCTGGCCGAAATCTCATCCAGTCTCAGTATCTCTTACCTTCCCAGCATTATGTTGAGTTTATTGGAAATCACATCCAGGTATCAGTTCCAGAGTCAGCAACTGTGTCCCATAGTAGAGAAGCTTGATGTCACATGTGTCTGTACAATCATGGATTTTATTGCCTTTGTGAGAATGAGGGGGCAGGAATGCTACTGCATTTATGTGGGAGGTGAATAATTATTTACTAGGGAACAGGAGGAAATAGACAATCACCCTCAACCACAGAGTTATTTTTAAATGTTAGAAGAAAACAGCTCCTGCACTGGATTGAGATTACTCATTCACTCCTTGGAAGGATAGCATATGCCCATCCCTTCAGGAAGCCATTCTGAGAAAGGCTTTTCCTGTTATGGGTTAGTTTCAGTTTGTTGCCAGATTGCAGCCAAGGCTTATGTTGATGGCCCATGAATCTGTTTGGTTTCTGGATACCACAGTTACCATTAACCCACAGAAAGTCAGCAGGTATGTTATATTTGGTAAATCCATCTTGATCTCACATCCTTTCTCCAGTTTTCAGGGTCTAGAAACCTGTTTTTATTGGACACCTTTTACAGAATGGCTATTGCAGCTGACTAGTTGTCAGCCTGGGATTTGGTAGCTCACAGATCTCCATCTCACAGCTGGCTACTGGACTACCCAGAATATA